CATTATCAGATCTCAAACATTTCACAGATACATCAAATTGATTCCTTACCATTGAGATGAAATTCTTTAGTACAACCACAACTTTACATTTAGAATTCATCAAACATACCCATGTATACCTGCTGAAATCATCAACTATAGTAGCAAAATACTGTTTTTTATCATATGTGGGCACTTTGTAAGGCCCCAAACATCTAAGTGCACAAGCTGGAAAATACTAGTGGATTTTGTACTACTAATAGGAAACTGAAGTCTGCATTGTTTAGCTAAGGGACATATGTCATAGTTCTCAATGTCAGTGTTACTGACTTTATTCTGCAGTGTAGGTAAGTGTTCTATAGTCTTCAAAGAGGCATGCCCTAGTCTGTGGTGCCATAGTATACTATCTGACTTATTCTCTTTCAAGGTTGTTCCTGCCAATACTGCTGCTCTCCCCCTTAGTAAGTATAGGCCTTCTGATTCTTTACTAATCCCCAATACCTTGCTACTGTAAAGCTCCTGAAACAAGCAGAAATCAGGGTAAAAGTTGACAGAACATCTCAGTTCCTTGGTAAGTTTTGACACTGACAATAAATTGAATTTAAAGTCGGGCACATGTAGAACATTTTCCACATTTTTGTTTCCTAGGACCATTGCACTTCCTGTATGTTTTATCTCTGCTCTAACCCCTGTTGGTAATTGTACACCACTATGTTTTTGTCCTTTCATGCTTCTAACATTGCTTAATACTTCCTCATTGTGAGTAATATGATGTGTGGCTCCTGAATCCACTATCCACTCTTCTATTGATGGACTGCAGAGCAGAGAGGCTATACCTGCCATATTTGATGAGCAATCTCCTGTTGTTGTTGGTTTGTTCAAGAGTCCTACCAGCTGGTTGTATTGTTCTTCTGTTAACACATGAGTTTGAAACGGATTTCCAGACCCTGCTACTTCTTCTGTACTTGCAGCATTCACATAAGGTCTAGTTCTTCCACTTGGAAACTTCTTCTTGCTTTTAAAGTCTGCTGGATATCCGATGATCTTGTAACAGTTTTCTTTCAAATGTCCTTTATAACCACAATGTTCATAGATTAGGCCAACCTTCTTTGGCTTGAAGACCTGACCTCTTCCTGCCATCATAGTCAAAGGATCCTTGTTTGTATCTGTTACTCCCAATGATCTCTGGCTTTCCTCCTGTGTCACTTTTGCATAAGCCTCATTTACAGTGATAACAGGCCTCCTCAACAACAGATTGCTCCTTAAATTGCTGTACGTCTCATTCAATCCCATCAGAAATTGTAACAATCTCTGATTAGCTAAAAGTTCCATTGATGGCCTAGATTCCTCACAGTCACAACCAGAGGTAGGAACCAGTACATCCAATTCACTCTCATTTTTGTGTAGTAACTAGTTACAGAATCAGTACCCTGTTTTAAACTAGCTATTTCTGTCCAGAGATGATATATTCTCGTCAAGCTACATCTATCAAATTTCTCCTTGAAATCACTCCAAACTTTTTTTGCATTAGAAGCAAATACAATACTAGGCATTAACTCACCTGCAACAGTGCTTCCCATCCATGATAACACGATTGTATTGCATTTCTCCCATTGTTCAGCAAGTTCTCCTCTATACATGCTTTTGACGCACGTTCCGTCCACGAACCCTAGCTTTCCTTTTCCTCTCAGTGCGCTTCATCGCCCTACTCCACAAGGCGTAATTTTCCGGCCCTGTGAGTTTGATAGGAACTAGAACAAAGCCTGGTGCATCGGAAGCTTGTAGGAACAGCGGATGATTGTGCTCTAGCAAGGTCACTTCATTTCCAGCCATGTTCGCTCAAATCGGAAAACTCAAAACCCTAATTTCAGAGTAATTTCTCTGTTTTTTTTTTTTTTTGAATTTCAGATCTAACATCTAGAATCGAGATCGAGGCTCTGATACCATTTTAGCTGAGCTAGATTAAGCTAGCTCTAGCAGTAGTTCATACATGCAATGAAGTTTATCAATAGAACAGTAAACGTAAGAGAATCTGAGAGAAGAGAGAAGAGACAAGAGAGGAGGAAGAAGAAGTTCGTTTATTTTCTGGTTTTTGTTTTTGATTACAGGAGAAAGATCCAGCTGTTCTCTTTTATCACTAATTACAAGTCCTACATTTTCTCCTATTTACAAACTACTCCCTTCTAGTTTCTTGCAGGTCCCTTTAACCCCTTTCTCTTCAATAGTTATCAGCTGGTTTGCTGCAGTGTTTCCCTTATCCTTCCCACACCCTAAAACATGTTAGCTGATTAAGGTTTAACTACTTGGAGGTAAATGGTTTTCTTAATCTTGTATTGTCAGTTCAGCTAATGTGGGGAGGTGGGGGTCGGGGTTAACGAAATTTAGAATGAGATTACTACAGTGGGCATATCATCCCACCTATAACAGGGCTATAAGAAAGTAGGCCCTTAAAATAAGAATGAGTGAATTGAGCTTGAGAATTTTGCTATTTGAAATTAGTGAAATCTCGGAAGAAAAAAAGCTGTGAGAGAAGTATACCCAAGCTGGAGTCTTTGGAGAGTTGATAAGGCCATCAAGAAAATCTTGGTGATGATTCCTGCAGTTATTTTTTGGTGTTTTGGAATGAAAGGGACCGAAAATATTTTGGTTGAATTTCAACTCCAAACCACTCTCTCAAAGCTAAATAAATGTTTGCTTAATCTTTTCTGCTGGACTAAATTAACACTGACCACTTTTGGACTTTGTTAGCTCCCTACTTATAGATTGACACAGCGTAAAGGGGCTAACAAAACTTTTTTTTTTCCTTTGGATAAGTCTAACAAACTCTATTGTCATTTCTGTATTTCTGCTTTTCTAACTATCCATCCCCTTGGTGCCTTTCCAATGAAATACCTTACTTCATCAAAGAACTTCGGAAAATAAGCTTATTGAAACTTACCTGAAAAATAAAAATAGAACGCACCCAAGGGTTTTGGTTCAAAGGCAGAGGTAGCACGAGTGGCATGGTAGGGAAAGTTAATTCCATTTCCATTTTCTTTGAAGTTTTTCCTTGAATCTAATGAACAGCATGCATGCTAAACCATTTTGCTATTCTTGTGTCTATGATTGTCATTTTTTGAGAGTGTATGTATATTCTTACGGGACTGAAGGTCTCATGACTATCTTCAGCTATACTTGGAAGAAAACTTGTACCATCTTGAAATTGAAAGAATTGCTTTTCTGGGATCCCCTGCAAGCTTGTGCTTCCATTGCGCCTGTTGCTATTATGTTATATTAACGATGGATGGCATAGTTCAACTTCATCTTTTGCAACGTTATTATCCCAAGCAGTGCGATATGTCAGTAGTCTTAGATATAATTACTTGTCTTCTTATCGGCCCCTTACCATTATCTTGGATCCACCTTTGTTTTTGTTTGTATGTCCATGGGGTGACATGATTAGATAGGTTATGGGAACAAGTCTATTCTTTATGTTGAAACAGATGTAAAGTATTTGGCCTTTTCTGTTGATGTCTGTGCAACCTGCTAGAAGATTAAATTGGTAGTCTGCATTTTTCATAATTTTCTGCTGTTGATGTCTGTGCAACCTGCTAGAAGATTATTTGGTAGTCTGCATTTTTCTAGGCTGTGAGATGTATTCTGAAACATATTTGACTTTATTACAGGGAAATAGCGAAACATCTTTCCCTTCCACCTGTTAAACTGCACTGCAGCATGCTTGCTGAGGATGCAATTAAGGCTGCTGTGAAGGATTATGTGTCGAAGAACGCAAAGTCAAGTGACAAGGCAGAGAATGCGTGAATGGAAAAAGCAGCTTATGCTTGGTATAGTAGTTGAAGAAATAAAGGGCTTCCGGCAACGAAGTTGAGCATAAGAACGAAGATCAGGGATGTACGTGTATGTAGTGTCTCTTGGATTTTCATAGATGTAAATTGACTCTATGACTGTTTGGGTTGTAATAGTGATATTTGTAGCGGGGTCTGTCGGTTTTGAAATACTTGGGCTCGGTATTTTCTGCATTTAAAAAAAAGAGTGTTATACCATACCGAAATAGACTAGGTATGGTTCGGTTTTCACTTTTCGATTTGTGCGACTTTGGTATTACACTTCAAAGTTGACATTCTGTCAACCAAACTTATTATTATGATTCATGAAGTTGATTTTTCAGATTCAAGCACGCAAGAAAGAAAACTAAAAGAGGATAAATTAAATTAAAATTTTAAACGTTAATTACGTTTCATTTTAAGACAAGATTTTCGTTCTTTACTTGAAAAGAGAAGTAAAGAGAAATATTTTCACATTTAAATCTATGTAAACTTATTTTCTTTTTAGTTTGTACAAAAAAGAATGGTTCCTTTTCATATTTGGAAGTAATTTATTTTTATATAGTGATTTATAGCCACACAAAAATAGAGGAAATAGGCCTTTATGGCTTTTACAATATTGAAATTAAGAAAGTATAAGAAAGTATTTTTTTTAGATCTTTATGTGTAAAAGATGGATATTTTGTGTAAAAGCAAATTTCTCAAGTGTAAAAAAAAAAGATGGAATCAATTTTGACGGCAAAATATGTTTCTCATTTTATACAACAAAGTTCAAAGTTTTTTTTTTCCTTCTTAAACTTTATTCACAATCAAAATAAGTTTACATAAATTAAAATGGAGAGAGTATTAAATTTAATCTTATTAGAAGTGAAATGTCATGAACTGTCAAATTTAAAACGAATGTATATATAGCACAACAATAATTGAACGATTAAATAAATTCTTTGATCATAACTAAATATATTCACGAATAGAAAAACCTTGTTTTAAGCTTATTAGTCAATGAGAGATTGCGTGTGCATTTACTTGTAATCTTTTTATGTAATATAATTACGTAAATACTATTAGTACAAAAAGAAATTTCTCGTTGAAATTTCAAACATTTTCCAAAAGATGTTTTTCCAAATCCTAATCCGAGCAAAAATTCATTTCCTATAAAAGAAAAGAAATACCCATAACTCCTAAGGAAATAAAATAAAAAAGCAATAGCTGCGCACGCACAACTAGAGCGCGAATCACTCTTTCCACATTCCCCAAGATTCAACAACTCCTCTCTACTAAAATCCTCCACAACTGGGTCTGACTGTCTGAGTTGGGTTCCTTAACACTCGATTGTATGATCATCATCTCATTTTACTTTTTCTTTTTCTTTCATGAGTACACTAGCTAACATTTACGGCCATGATTTTATTGTTAAAGTGCTGAAATAATTCTAACTACGGCTATGATTTTATTGTTAAAGTGCGAAATAATTCTAACTTTAATCTTCGCCTACTTTATTAACTGCGACTAGTAGGGGAAAAAAATACAGCCTGTCATATACTTTTAATCCCCAGTTCTTAAAAGTCAGTTATTATTATTTTTGCAAATGGGTTCTGGGTAGACAAGAACCAATTTTGAACAGTTGATATTGACTTTCACTTCCAACAATAGTCCATTTGTTTATTTGATACAGTTGTTAGTGCCAATCCTCACACAACAGTTTTGGTGGGTGAACTTGAATATGTTGGAGTAAAAACAAGTGAGCTCACCAAATTGGACCCATTTGACTAAAGAAGTATTCTTTGGATTTAGGGAGCAGGTAGGAAGGGAATTCAAAGAGAGAGAGAGAGAGAGAGAAAGAGTTAATGGCTAGTCCAATAACAGAGGACCACTCTCCTCACATTGGAATTGACGGTATAAATGAGGAAACTCAACAGATTTCTGAAAAGGATATTGTTTTAGAGAAAGGAGGAGAGAAAGATATGGCGCCTATGCCTGGGAGCTCATCAATTCATCGGTCATCTTCTCGCCCACAGCTAGATGTTAGTGGTGCTGCAATTCAGGGCAATTTTGAGGAGAAGGATCCCACTATTCTGTTGCCTAATCAGTCTGATGATATTTCCCATCTGGCTCTGGATATTGGTGGTAAAATTTCTCCCTCTTTATTCTTTAATAACCTATGATAACATGAAACTTGGATAAAACAATTGGTTTTACCACTGATAGTATTGTGGTTAACTCTTGAGGTGTCGTTAAATTTGACTTGCACTGGTGCTGAGTTTGATGTGCGAAAAGCTAATTACACGACAACAACAAACCCACTATAATCCCACATAGTGGGGTCTGGGGAGGGTAGTGCGTACGCAGCCTTACCCTTACCTTGTGGAGATAGAGAGGCTGTTTCCAATAGACCCTCGGCTCAGAGAAGCATAAACACCACATTAAAGAATGCGAAAAGCTAATTATGATTAACTAAATCATTTTGGTTCTGGCTTGATCTTTTCTGTGGATTTTGTTAATCCAGGCTCTCTTATCAAGCTGGTTTACTTTTCAAGACATGCGGATCGGCAGGTGGATGACAGGAGAAAAAGAAAAGTTAAAGAGAGATTGGGTGTTTCTAATGGCAGCAGGAGAAGCTATCCTATCCTTGGAGGGAGGCTTCATTTTGTTAAGTTTGAGACATCAAAACTTAATGAGTGCTTAGATTTTATATATTCCAAGCAACTTCACTGCGGTGGTATAGTTCTTTCAATTTTCCATAATTTCAAATTGCTAATTTTGTAAATGCACTATATTTCCCTGTGATCTTCAATTGTTCTTGATCAGAAGCACTAGCATTAGCAAGAGTACGGATTACTGTCTTTACATTTGTTGATAATCTTGTTGGCTAGGGATGGATTCACGATGTTGGCCTTCTGATGCCCCACAAAGTGAAAATGCAGTAATTAAGGTAAACATCATACTTGTCAAATTGTGTGACAACCTCATCTAAAAGTTTAAGTTGCGAGACAGAAGTAACTTTTATTGGTTAGTTATGTAATAGCCCACTCTGTTTCACAGTCAGATTTAAACTTGGGACATTTGTTTTTTCTGATACCATGATGAGTTTTGCTACCACCTCATTTAAAAACTTAAACTGTTAGAGGGTCACTTTTATTTATTTATTTACTGTGTATCAATGTTGTTGAGGCAAGATGACTACTTCCCATTTTAATTTGATCAAAATTGAGTTGTATGGAGGAAGAAGCAAATAGGCTTGAAGAATGTTCTCAAACTAAATGTCAAAGATAAGAGAGATAACGAAAAGCTAAAGAATTAGGTCACTGAGAATCTAATTAAGTCAGTTGGTTTTGTTATAGCATACTAAGCCCTGAGATCTTTATGTAATGAGACATTGATTCTATATACCCCCATATAAGCATATTTAGATCAGTTTTATTGAACAAACTAGATTTCATAACTGTACCCTTTTTTTTGCCGAACAGTATCTCTTGTCTTACATTGATTGTAGCTTCTTCTTTTTCTTGTTTGTGGGTGGGTGGGTGGGTGTGTATGTGTGTGTGTGTGTGTGTGTGTGTGTGTGNAAATAGTCCCGGGGATCCTCTGAAGATGTACTTCTATAGGTAGTAGTGAAAAGCATGGTGAACCTATAAAGCATCCGAAGACATAGCTGATCCATCACCGGTCTGTGCTACAACACCCGGTGGAACTACCCCAACTGGCTGAGCTGCTAAAGTTTGAAACTGAGGAGCCATTTGCTCGGGAGTGTGAGTAGCGGGAGTCTGTGCTCCTCCCCCAGCCCGAGAGACAGCTGGTGCTACAGGAAGTATACCGGCCTGGGTAACACTCTCCATGAGGCCCACTAGACGGACGAAAGCATCCTGAAGTACCGGGTAGCTATGAACCCCTCTAGGACCTAAGCTGGGCCTGTTGGAACGGTCTAGGCCGAAACTTCATCATCGAACTCAACCCGAGGCTCCGCCGCTGGTCCTGCTGCTCGAGCTCTGGGCTGACCCCTGCCCCTGCCTCGGTATTTATGTATACCTTCCACCATCATAAACTGTACGCAGTCACTTAGTCTTCCTGAGTCTGAACTCATACCGCAACATGAAACTTTTTTTACTCACTCACAACTGGGAAACATGAAAAGATTCTTCACACGCCTATAACCTCAGAGCTAT